GTGAAAAGCCGCTCCTCGGCTGGGAAGAGGGACCACTCCTTAGATGGCTGCTCACCTGCAGGCAGGCTCAGTCCCCCTCTGACCCAACAGGAAAACATCTGTGGGTCAGGGGGCATTCTAACTCATGGCACTTTATGTGAAGCACCTCGAGTTAGAGCAGAGTACTGCACGAGTCTGTCAGTGCCCTCAGAGCCCGTTCTGACCTGCTACAATGCCAATCCCTGACAAGAACAACAGAATCTCTTTGAATGTCACCTACAGCCCCCAAGTGAAACATCTTGGCCACATCATTAATGATCTGCAACCACTCCTGAAAAACAACAACTGTCTGAAGGCAGCCCTGGGTCACAAGCCTGTCTCAGCTTACAGGCAACCCCCCAACCCTAAACAACATCTCTCCAGCAACCGACTTCATAGTTTCATAGTTTCATAGTTGGTAGGGTCAGAAGGGATCTAAGCAGATCATCAAGTCCGACCCCCTGCCATGGGCAGGAAAGGATGCTGGGGTCAAACGACCCTGGCTAGGTGATTGTCTAGCCTCCTTTTGAAGACCCCCAGGGTAGGGGTGAGTACCACTTCCCTTGGAAGTTGGTTCCAGATCCTAGCCACCCTGACAGGGAAGTAGTGCCTCCTGATGTCTAGCCTGAATCTACTCTCAGTCAACTTATGGCTGTTGTTCCTTGTTACTCCTGGTAGTGCTCGGGGGAACAGGGACTCTCCCGTTGCCTGCTGGTCCCCCTTGGCCAGTTTATAGGTGGTCACCAGATCCCCACTCAGCCTTCTCTTGTGGAGGCTGAACAGGTTCAGGTCCTGTAGCCTCTCCTCATAGGGCCTGCCCTGCTGCCCCCTGATCAGGCGAGTGGCCCTCCTCTGGACCCTCTCGATGCTGGCCTCATCCCTCCTGAAGTGCAGCGCCCAGAACTGCGTGCAGTACTCCAACTGCGGCCTGACCAGTGTTGCATAGAGGGGGAGGATCACCTCCTTGGACCTGCTCATGATGCATCTATGGATGCATGACAGGGAGCGGTTAGCCTTCCTGACCGTGTCCCCACATTGGCGGCCCATGTTCATCTTGGAATCAATAGTGACTCCAGGATCCTTTTAGTGACTGCCTAACTCCTCTTCTCCCCAAGCCACCAGGCCCTGCAACAGAGCCAGATGCCAGCTCTGCCTCCTTATCAACAGACCACATCATCACTGGACAAATACCTTGGATGATAGCATCTGGGGTTCAGTCACTTCTGCCAACCTATGCCATCATTTGCTTACAGGACCCCTCTGCTGTATACGTTGGATGGACAGGGCAATCCTTATGTTAAAAAATGAATGGACACCAATCTGACATCAGTTCCAGAAAGGCATACAAGCCAGTAGCAGGACACTTTAACCTCCCTGGACCCTCCATCACCGCCCTCAGAGTAGCTGTTCTTAAACAACAACACTTAAAAAAACAACTTGAGCACAAAATTGTGCAATAAGAAACCATCCACAGACTGGATTCTGTTAACCACAGTCTCAACAGAGATTACGGATAGTTATCCAATTACTTGGGTTAACCCCTATGTCCCTCAGTGATTTAACTGCTTCAGCTCACCATCACCTATGTCAACAGTGGCGCCTCTTCTTCTGTTCTTTGTATTTAAATGACTTTATTCCTTTCTATTTAGTCCCCGCTGCTCTCTGCAAATCCATTCAGAGCACTAGATGAAACAGGCCGCAGTCTACAAAGCTCCTTCCTCTCTAAACAAGTTGGTCTATGAGATGCCACCTTACCCTGCCTTCTGCCTCACTTCAGATTAACTCAGCAAACTACTTCTCTGTAACAGTGGTTAGCTGGCACCTGCTCAAATCATGAGATGAAGATTTGACTATGACTTGCCAATATAAATAGTCATGATTTACACCGACTGTCAAGCCGTGGTCATCAGTGCAGCCCAACTACATCCAAACATGACTAAATATTATGAAGCTGGGCCCCCCTTAAGTGCTCTATGAAAGGATAAGTACAAACAGTTAAATGCACCTTATACAAATACCCTATGCAAATTGATTGATTTTTTTCTCCCTGTTTTTCCCTCCAGATCTATTGACCTGTATAGTTGCAAATGTACTGGAGCTGGGTCCTACCGTTCAGACTGGTGTAAAATCTGACTGAACCTCTGGTGGCCTAACCCTGCTCCTACTAAGGTCCCTGAGATTCAATTATGTCAGCGCAAAGTGTTTTGAAAATCTCACCCCTAATTTCATAGATGTGTTAGAAATGGCAAGATGAAGACTAAGTACTCTTTAGATTTTCAGAAGGTGTACTTACAAGAGTAAGGCCTACTTGTGTGAGTCAGTGCTGCAGTGTAGCACTTCCGGTTCTCAAAATTGTACAGGTGTAATTACTGATTTGCACATAATGCTCTGAATCACCATTTGTGGGGGATTTGTTTTTATCCTTGCAAGGTTCTGTAGTGTGGTGGGCTGTACAGCGTGATACAGTGTGTAGTAAATCTGAAATTGAACTGCATTTGTACTGAATAACAGAGAACTAATAATCATACCTTTAGAATAAGGCAAATTGCTTTTAAGAACATAATATTTTTTTTTTAAAGAAGAGTTTTCTGGGGTAGCATGAAATCGCTTGATGGTTGTAGTCAAACTACAAGTGTGGTTCAGCACTAGATAAAGATTCAGATTAAATCAATAATGTATTAAACAGAAGTGTTTACTGGCTCAAATAAGAGGAAATGACTGACAATTCTCTGTGATATGACACAAAAGTAATTACAGTTTTAAATACTTTTCAGCATCACTTTGGCAAGGAAAAACAGAGATAACATTAAAATGCAGAAATGTTATCAGTATGATGAAGAAATTTAGTCAGATGTTAAATGATATTTATCATCCAATTACTCCTCTTCCAAAATGTTTTTAGTTTAGATTTGTGGATTTAATAAACATTTCTCCCCAGTTCTGTACCAAAAAAATTCGAACTGATAAAATCCTAAATGCTTGATTGAAAACAAATCAGTACTACACAATAAGAGAGTAGCCTTTGAGCATGGGCAATTTTAGCACACCTGCAGTTTGTGCGGGCTGGGAGCGGTCCGGGCCCTTTTTCGTGCCGCGCGGGCTGTGGCCAGCAGCCCGGGCACGCTGGGTCGGAGAGAACAGGCGACACGCTGGAATTAGGCACGGACGCGTAATGGTTGATTCAAGATTGTTTACTTACACCGAAGATGGTCGCAGTGTAGGCTGGACAGTTTCCCAGGCACAGCTCCGCTTAAATCCTCGTTTGAGGACTCAGACAATATTCGGATCATTCCCACGGCGTTGTCGAGGCTCCGTGGATCCTTTTGCGCGCAGGGAGAGGGATACGTCGAGGTTTGCGATCGGTGACGGGGAGAGGCTAGAGGCTGATCAGACCCCTGTTGCCTGCTTGAAATGCACTGGGTCCAATAGGCTCCGCAGCGCTTAGAGATCTTCACACAGCGTGAAGTCTCCTCCTTCTGGTGTTCGTGAAGTCCTCCAACTTGGGCGGAAACCACTCAAGCCTTTTATACGGCTAGCAAGACAATCGCTAGCCACCACGTGTGAATAATTTCA